GGTGGGGTTTAAAGAGACAGAGACAGAGACAGCAATCAGCACTGCCACTCTTGTGGTTCAGCATGCACACAAAGCTCCTGCCAGGAATAATCCCCTGAGACAGAGACCCAGGGGAATCCTGTGGGGGCGACACGTGCGATGCGTACCCGCGAAGACCATGCTTTCCTGCAGTCTCGTGGACTTTGTCACACTGCAATGGGAGAGGTTTGGAGTCATGGGAGTGCTGAGGTGCACCACAGAACCCAGGGAGACTACTGTCACCTCTTATATCTGCTTGGACTTCGTTTGTGTGCTATAGGTATTATAAAGGCTGAATAAACTTGTATACTGCTACCCCTGTCCAGTCTGGCATTTTGGCTTAGCTAGGATTTTATATTGCCTTCACACTCAGTGAGCACAGTTAATTGGTAGTCTTACTCTGCCTGATAAGTATCTTATGTAGTTGAATTACTTGTTCTTTATACCTAGACAGATATGCCTAACATGAGTAAAAAACAAATTGCAAGAGTGCTGAGAACGGACAACAGTTTAATTAGCCTGCCCCCGCTCTGTTCTCAAGCTGGTTTTAGCTCATCTTGTGCCAATACAGAGAGAACCAGGCCATGCATCTCAGACTGATTCCACCCAAAAAGGGCAGAACAGATCCAAAATACAGGCCGACTCTCTCTGCACGAGAGATACAGCAACCCCAGATGATCGTTTCAACCTTGTTAGGCATCATCAGTGAGGTATAGCCTATATCCCTCTAGGCACCGTGAGCAAGGGGTCCATGTCTGGATTACCCTTTAAACCTAAGGAGAGCAAAATACAAGTCGCAAGAGAGTATTGAGAAAGGACAGCAGCTTAATAAGCCTGCCCTTGGGGGATCCGCGCTCAGTTCTCAAGCTGGTTTTAGCTCATCTTGTGCCATTACAGAGAGACCCTTTTTTGTGGAATCAGGCTGAAAAGTATGGCCTGGTTCTCTAAGAAATGGGTGTTCACTTGCTCTAGAACAGGTTTTTGACACCACCAGAGATGTGGCATCGTCCATGTTCTATTTACCTATAGAATGACCAGTTTTTAAAGTACCACATGTGGCTGTAGATGTCATGCTCAGCATGGAACCTAATTGTACAGACTATAACACAATAAATAGACAAGCCGTGTACCGGTCCTTAGAGTGGCCGGCTTATAGTATAGCAGTCAGAGAGAATGCTGAGGTCAAGGACATGAGAGATATGAATAAATGATATAACAAGACATCAAAGGATTCCAGAGATCAAAAGAATTGAGTAAACTGACAACCTTTTGAAATCAGGAAGAGGAGATACAAGGAACGCACTATTGGGCTACTAGAACCACAACAGGGCAACATGGAGTGGGAGAGGTAAATATATATAGACCGTGCTTACTTTCTATTGGCCCACATCATATCCTAATTCCGTATGATTCGTGGGCGATAGAATAATTAATTAGACTGAAAAATGTCATCATTGTGCACAGAATTTGGTATGGCAAATTTGCGAATAGGACTCAAATTCAGTCCAGCCAATTCATCATTCAGACCTGAATTTGGTTGCCCATAAGACCCAGAGGCGTGCAGCGTTGCACAGGATGACGGGAGTGTCGAAGGAAGAAAGGTAGGCAACCCCAGCTGTAGCCTTCTAATGTATAATGTAGAACCTAAAATGTCACCAGGGAAAATACAAAAAACAATACTTTGGAATATACTTAATCTAATCATGTTGAAAGACTGAAAGCAACAGTGTCATAGCTGACAGATGTTTGGGTGCTGGAAGGTATTTTATTTATTTTTTTATCTGCACTAGTAGACATTATCACATCAGTTGTTAAATATACAGTTGTTCTCAAACGTTTGCATACCCTTGGAGAATTGGTAATATATTTTGCCATTTTTAAAGAAAGCATGGATGAGCAGGCAAAACACATTTCTTTTATTTCTTATGGAATTCATATTCAACTGTAGGTTATTACAAAACAAAACATAACAAAACATGGCAACAAAGAAAAACAATGAAATGACCCCTGTTCAGAAGTTCTTAGTTCTTAATACTGTGTATAGCCCCCTTTAGCATCAATGACAGCGTGCAGTCTTTTGTAATAGTTGTCTATGAGGCCTCTAATTCTTGCAGGTGGATAGCTGCCCATTCGTCTTGGCAAAATGCCTCTAGGCCATGCAATGTCTTTGGTTGTCTTGCATGAACCACACGTTTGAGATCTCCCCAGAGTGGCTCAATGATATTAAGGTCAGGAGACTGGGATGGCCAGTCCAGAAGCTTCACCTTTTTCTGCTGTAACCACGGGAGGGTCAACCTGGCTTTGTGCTTAGGGTTATTGTCATGCTGGAAAGTCCAAGAGCGTCCAATGTGCAGCCAGTATTTTCTGATAACATGCTGCTTCATTTTGCCATCACAAGATTCCCCATGCCTTTAGAGCTTACCCCTCCCCCTACTTCACCCCTCTTCCCCACCCCTCCCCAAAAACACCAGTGAGCCACCACCATGCTCCATAGTGGGGGATGGTATACTTTTCACTATAGAACTTGTTGACCCCTCTCCAAACATAGCGCTTATGGTTATGACTAGTGATGTCCTGAACGGTTCGCCGAATGGTTCGTGAACGGTTCGCCACGGACTCATCATTGAGTAAACTTTGACCCTGTACCTCACAGTCAGCAGACACATTCCAGCCAATCAGCAGCAGACCCTCCCTCCCAGACCCTCCCACCTCCTGGACAGCTCACTAAGAATGCAGCTTCACAATGAATGTAAAATGGATGCTGTCTAGGAGGTGGGAGAGTCTGCTGCTGATTGGCTGGAATGTGTCTGCTGACTGTGAGGTACAGGGTCAAAGTTTAGCATTTGCGGCGAACCGTTTGGGACATCACTAGTTATGACCATAAAACTCTATTTTGGTCTCCTCACTGCAAATTACAGTGTGCCAAAAGCTGTGTGGCGTGTTAAGGTTGTTGGGCATATTGTAACCCAACCTTTTTGGGGCATAGGCGGAGTAAAGGCTTCTTTCTGGCAACTCGACCATGCATTTTTGTTCAAGTAGCATCGTATTGTGCCCCATGAAATAACCACACCGTCTTTTTCCAGAGCAGCCTGTATTTCTTCTGAGGTTACCTGTGGGTTTTTTGGCAGTTGTGGCTAAAATCTTTCTTGGTCTACCTGACCTTGGCTTTGTATCAAGAGATCCCAACATTTTCCACTTCTTAAAAGGTGATTGAACAGTACTGACTGGCATTTTCAAGGCTTTGGATATCATTTAAATATCCTTTTCCATCTTCATAAAGTTCCATTACCTTGTTATGCAGGTCTTTTGACAGTTCTTTTCTAAAAACGCAGCAGTACACCCCAAAGCAATAATAATAATAATAATAATGAGTGGTACAGGGTTACACCTTATCCAGAGGTCACAAATTATAGCAGAGGCCAAGTATAATGGAGAGGGGCTCACCCTCTAAAAGGCAAGAGACACGGGGTATTGCAATCCTGGTTCAGCCTTAGAGACACCAGCAGTGTCCGAGTGAAGAGTAGACAAGTGTAAAGAGTCACAACCATGTGAGAGAGTGTAAGGCAGCAGGGGCACCATCCTGCAACACAGCCAGCCCTTAGGAGAGCGAGCTGGGGTGATCCAGTACTGCAAGATAGCCCCTCCCGGTACCAGCGCGGGGATGCCGGTCGGGGATCAATGAGGTAATAAGGAAAGAGGGGGGGAATCCCCCTACGCCCTCCCACCAGGAGAGCTAAATGTGGTAAAGATGGCTACTGGGATCTTGCGCAATATGGCCTATGCGAGCGCTCATGGGATCAGCGGGATGTTCATCATGGTCCCAGAGCTCAGGGAGACCAGGTAAGGCAGCCAAGAGGAGCCTTTCGAGGACCTGAGCTGGGATGAAAGGCAAAAACACCAGAAAAAAAATACCAAATCAGTAATAGCTAAATAAGCAGATTATCAACAATATACATGCCCAATAACCCAAAAGGGAGCAGTGAAAGTTATAACAGAAATAAAAGGAAAGTACCTGTAGCAGTAAATGGGGAGACAAGGTACTGAAGAGAATCAAAGGAAAGACAGACATACAGTGCAAATAAATCACATGTAAAAAAAAACACAGCAACCCACATAAAAGCAGGAGGCCGTGGTACTCTGACCTGTGCTGTGTGAGGAGCAGCAAAGAAAGAGGAAGTGTTAGAAAGGGAGACCTATTGTTTCTGTTTATTTCTGATTGGTTGAATTCTCTCTGTAAAAAAAATGCTGCTGTGAGTTTTAGTAAAGAGAGACTTAAGCAAAAATATGAAGCCTCCTGTCGTGATAAAATTAACATTTAATTGACATTTTAACCTGTGTGTGTCATCTTGTGTGTCTTAAAGTGTATGTAAACTTTTGATCAGGGCCATTTGGGTGATTTCTGTTAACATTAGGATTTAAAAAGTAGCCAAACGGAGGGTGGGGTCTGACCGCTGAGCTGAGCGGTCGCAGGACAAAGCTACTCCTGCTCTAATCGACAAAAATATGATACACCGGATAATTAACGGTGGGCAATCAACACCAAAGTGCCACACACGGATAGGTGAACCCAAGGGGCACCTGCTGACACCAAACGAGTGACCCACCTGGTGAGACTCAATGGAAAGAAACCTGTGGCCTACAGGCAAGGACAGCATGGGGGAGGCGGCCGCTCCCCCGCAGCCCTCCATGGCAAGAAACGGGACCATGAGACCTTGTTCCCCCTCCCTATGGACTGGTGGGGGTTATCCCGGTCCCGGGAGTGCCCACCCGAGACGCGGGACAGCATGAACAGACGGAGCTGGTGAACTCCAAAATGGCAGCGAAGACAAATAGCCAACCCGACACATTACCCAGGGATGACAAGGAAGCACGGCTGAATGCCATCTTTGCAGCCTTCTGGAGAAAACTCGATGAGTATCAAACCATAACGCGAGCCCCAGAAGTGCAAGCACCGACACCGCTGTCCACACGCTCACTCCATCATGGCAAATCCTACAAAGAGAAACGAGCAGGGAAATGGCACCGTCGCAAATGCCCACCAAAAAAAACAGACCAAGACGAGGAACCCTGCTGAGATCAGCTATACACGCACAAGCCAACTACAAAACTGTGTAGGTACCGGAGCCGTAGGGACGCCAACTCTGAGAAAAGCAAGCTCCCCCTCAGGCGCAGCCCTGGGACAACATCGAGGAGCGCATGGCAAGCCCTGCAAAGGAACCCCCACGAAGGTTATACTACAGAGTACCAGCCCATGCAAGCACGGCACCTCAGAAATGGTACTCGGCTGGAAAGCTTCCCATACCTTCACTCCCAACGCACCTGGCAAATTTCCAGAGTCGGCATCGGATGAGCAGCGACAACGGGCTGATGGCACCCGGCACTACCGAGAACGGCCCCCACACCACGCCAGACTAAAGATTGCACAGACTTTACAAGCACACTAACGGTTCCAGGGGAAAGATAACAGCCACTACTCCTTACAGGCCAGTACCCATCTGAGCTAACAGAGCGGGACTTATTATATGAACATAAGGTTTTTCTTTGCTGCACACCTGCGCATATCACCTTAGTTCCCATAGCAACTATTTGTACACAGCAACTGTTTAGTCATGCATGTCTTAACCGTCTTATTATTTACCTTTAAAATTGTGCAGACTCCCCAAATGCCTTCAAATGTTAGCCCTTGCCTCACTTGCACATACTATGGGGTCATTGCAAATGTGTACAGTATATCTATGGCAAAATCTTATAACGTACACTGTCTTGCATTTCGCTGTCTCGCTTTTCTGGGGATTCCTGTGCCTCATCTATTATAGGCGACTCAGCCTAATCCTTACCTGGTTGCTCCAAACTCAATGGTCTATCTAGTGGCATTTCCCTAAACATATTTTAGGAGAAAAGCAAGCTGGATCCATATGATCCCGATTGTCAACTCTGTCAGATTACGCAGCCCGACTATACAGAGGTTTTTACCGACCACCCAGCTACTAACTTATTCTAACTAAGCATGTTTATTATCCAGGATCCTTATGATCCCGACTGTCCGTTCTGTCAGACCACGTAGTCAGACTATAAAGTTGTTAATATTGTCCAATCCACTACAGACTAATTGTACCTGAGCATGTACATTATTATTGTTCTTTCTGTCAACCACACGCCGCAGGCAGGTTTTATTAACCCACATTAAATGCTATAATATCACCTTAAGAAACGAACCTGCTTACCTTACGTCTTAGCCTATGTATGTATAAGCGTTACTATTGTAATGTGCCTAGCATAAACTATAAGCACTGAACTACCTAAGCCTGTTCATATATAAACGTTAAACTTATAACTTGACTAGCATGTACTATAACTGTTGAACTTTTAAGCCTACTCAGTTACAAATTGATGATCACCATAATATAAAAATGTGCATGTCCAATCTCACACCCCAAATGTAAAGCTTGAACAAACGCGAGAGGATTGCCGTTGGGGTACCTCGAGCCTGATTGTACTTATCCTATGCACTGCAAAAAAAAAAAGGAGCCAAACAACTTTGTAATAATAACTGGCTTCATATGATCACTATCCCTTAATAAAAAATTATTTTTGCATGTTATGTCATATATTAAAAACCAATCCCATAGTTTCACAATTTATGCCAGGGTAAACTTTTGAGCACAACAGTAAATTGTTCTTGTTCTAAATTACATTGTAGTTACATAACCTGTTATTAGTAAGTCATCTATAATTTATCAGGCCACACCCCCACTCACACCCCTAAACTTAAAGTGTCCCTCTTTGTCCATCTGAAATGTTGAGCAGTGTGTTGTTGGTGAGAGCAGCTGAAGCAGAGAAAGGAGTTGTTTATATGGGATATTCCATACAGTTCACCGACAATGTAAGTTGAGCTTCTCACTGTAATCACGATATAAGTGCTACATATTTAAAAGTATACGTATTTAGGTAGCAGGGATGTTACTTAAACAATGATTGTATTTATTTTATTATATTATTTGTGTATACAATAAGATTTTAGCAGTGTAATATTTATTATGAAAGTCATCAAAATGCATCCACTACCTACAAATGGGGTTATTAACTAAATTCAAGTGTAAATAATGGGAAATTCAAAGCAAAATTCAAAAGTTTAGGTCCAAATAGTCAGACTGGAAACAAGTGACTTTATTCCCTTTTTGGGCATTAAATATGAATTTCACGTTCAATTCACACTATTTTTTAAATAGCCCTGATAGTTTTGCTGTTTCATGCAAGTTTTGTTATTATCAATCATTTTAATATTTTAACATGTTGATTTATTACAGTTTCATATCTTTCTGTACTAAGATATAGGTATTTATAAACATGCAAGACCCAGTGCACTCACCCACTAAATACCAACCTCACAGCTCCCAAAATGTAATCGGTTTTTAAAATCACAATATTAGTTACAGTATATGATCATACATTGCATAAGCCTGCCAACGTCAGTGAACCCCATTTTTGGCAGGTCCTATTCTAGCAGCCTAATGCCTGCTCATAAGATTAACCCACTTACTTGGGAAATCCTTCCCATGTTCTCTGCAGTGCAAGGTTAAATAAGGTCCCGGGAATGAGGAACCTGTGATAACTAAAGGAGTTGCCCTGGACTCCCAAATATAGGTACATGTGAAACCAAGAGGGCTGCTGCCAATTAACATCACATGCAAGATCCAGCACACTCACTAACCCACTAAACATCAATACAAAACTTACAATAAAGTTCAAGATTTTCCTAGCCAAGGGGGCGACAGAAAATCAGAATTTTATTAAAGACAGGAGGTGAGTATTATCCTTATACTTTTATAAATTATTAATAACAGACAGGTAAAACTAAAGGGGTAAAAAAAAAAAAATCACAGTTAAGCATGAATAGGTAAGCCACTTGACCAATCAGCATCAAGAATAGACTATGTAACATGTAGTCTGTTGCAGTTACTCCTCTTTCGTGCTGCGACGATGATAGATGTAACGTTGAAGGATGACTTTAAAATTAATCCAATAACGGTAGGGAACAGGAATGAAGAAACTTGGACTCTGACTGAAAAATAAAAAGACCAATGAGGGTGTCCTTTTGTTCTTTTAAAATTTGAAGAAAGAATCAATACGGATGGTTTAATAGGTGGGATAATATTCACCTCCTGTGTTTAATAAAACTCATTTTTTGTTGCCCCCCAGAGCTAGGAAAATCTTGAATTTTATCGCAGACAGGAGGCTCATATTATGAATATATTTACAAAACAACCAGAGAAACATGAGAATGAAGTCTAAAACAAAATTATATAAAGGTAGATTCTGATGATGCAGTAGTAATAAACCCCTTGCTTAATATGTCTTGATGGACATAGGTCCCCTAGTGGAATAAGCACAACATTTAGCTTTATCTATGCAAGCCATAGACATGATAATTCTAACCCATCTAGCTAAGGTGGGAGAAGAAACTGTAAGGTGTGGTTTACGATATGAAATTAACAATGGGGCCTGACTTTATTGATGGGGTTCCTGAGAGCTCCTCAGGAGATACTTAACAAATCTTACTTCTCAGATGGATTAGCTATTCTTCTACTGCTGGAAACTCATATTATACTCACTGAATTGTCTGGGAGCAGTCCCGCGGTCTACCAGCACAGTACAGAAGCTTTTATTTGTCGACATAACTGGGGCATAGCAGGCACTGAGGCGGTCAGAGGCAGCTAAAATCCTGGGCCGACGCAGGCGGGGTTCCAAGGAAAATGAGCTAACCCCCTGTTACCTCATTCCCATCCCCGATGGGGGTAATTTGGTTTTCACCCTGACAGCTCCCCTGCTCCAGCAGAACTGCTGAAGTCTGCAGTAATACCGAATGAGGCACATACAAGATGGCTGACGCCAAGTCTGCCCCGGACTTAATCAGAGAAACATCCACCATTCTACATTGCCCGTAAGCACTATTTGAGGCCCTGTGGAGGAAGCTGTGTGGCAAAAGATCACTACCAATGCCTAAAATTGCAAAACCGCCTCCGCAAATTCTCTGATGCACCCCACATCACCCAGCGAACCTGTGACTTCAGAGGCCTCACCAGTACACAGTGAGGAAGGTGGTGGCCAGACCAGCTTTGGCACTAAACAAGTAAAGCATGGGGAGGATGAGGTGGAACGCAGGGAAGAGGGAAGCAGCTTAGCACAGGGAAACTTTATCTGACTCACTCTGTACTGTGCCTGTAGATTATTGGCATTGGCTAGGACTGTATTGCATCCATGTTTTGTTTTGTTTTTGTTTTTTAAATATTTCTCCTTACTGTTTTGATTTATTTTAATATTTTTTAACTTTTTTTCCCCTTTTCATATATTTATATATACATTTTTCTCTTTGCTGGATATATTTAAACTTTATCCCTTTTTTTCTTCTATATTTTCACCTTGCTGGTGTTATTTAAAACGTTTCCCCTCCTTTTTTCCCCCCTCTCTTGTTGTTTCTATTCCCCTCCTTGTGGGTGCTGCTGCTGAGCTAATTAGGGGGAGTGCCCCTTAATTTCCACCTGTGTGGGATTTGTATTGCCAATATAAACCCACTACTGACTCACAGAGCTTGCTCACTGGAGTTTGCTTGAAAGTAGGCTATTTCAAGTAGTCTCTTTTAAGTAGGAGTTAAAACAACAGGAGTTGAAACTACAAGGGAGTTTAAACCAAGAGGGTAAATATTGTTTTTGCTCACTTGTGTTTTTTGTAACTGGGGATGAGTGCTAGCAAGATTGCGAGTTTAACTCAGTGCACATCATGCCACATGTATGCATGCCTGGATGATTCTATCCAGGGTCCATACCTCTGTGGTGGGTGTGAGCGAGTGGCATTTCTGGAAGCTCAGATTAGAGATCTGGAGAGGCAAACTGTAACACTGAGGGAGACTGACAATCTTGAGAGGAGTCTGCTGCTCACTGAGCAGAGTTTAGTGGGGACAGGTAGTGGAGAGGGAGGAGATAAGATAGATGGGGAACAGGCACGTAGCTGGGAGACAGTGGGGCGAGGAAGCAGGGGGGGAGGGAAGAGAAAAGGTTTAGCTAGTCCTGATCTCATGCAGCCTAACAGATTTTCCCGTTTGAGTGAAGATGTTGGGAGCATCAGCTCAGGAGTAGCTGTACTGCAGGAAGCTGTTCCTGCTAACAGCCGTGGAAACAGCCCCTCTAGTACGGGTGGGGTTGAGAGGGTAAGGAAGTCTAGACAGGTTGTGGTGGTAGGGGACTCTATTATTAAGAGAGTAGATAGGGTAATCTGCCACTCTGATCGACTCAACCGGCTTGCTGTCTCCCGGGTGCTCGGGTCCGGCATGTTGCTGACAGAGTGGAGGGATTATTGGGAGGGGCTGGAGATGACCCAGCTGTCATGGTCCATATTGGTACCAATGACAAAGTCAGAGGAAAATGGAAGGTCCTAAAGAATGAGTTCA